CAGCTATACAGGCGTTAATACTGAATGTTTAACATTATATTCATTGCATACATATACTTCATAGACATTCTTAATCTCTAATAACTCCATTCTGCTATCTGTTGTTGGTGTTTCATTGTCTGAATATGGCACTTATCACATGCTGTGTGGTATCGGCGTTTGGTATCGGGGCATTTTAACGAGTACGAGTACGAGTACAGGAGCTCAGTATCGGGCCCGATACCGATACCAGTATCGATATCGGTGCATCCCTATTAAATTGTATAGTTGTATATATATTTAATTACATAATTCACAGTGCTTAATGGGATGAGTAACTTAGGGTGTACTCACACTAGGCACGGTTTACGCTTACGTCATGTATAGTGTTGGGTAAGTTACTCAAAAAAAGTAATCCACTACAAATTACTAATTACTTCTTTAAAATTGTAATTTGATTACATTGATACATTTGATGACTGCATTTAATAAGTAATCAGATTACTAATTACTTTACTTTCAAATTACTTTCAAGTTTACATTACTTTTCAAGTTATCAAACCTACAAAATACACTACAAAGTGAAACTCATAGTTCTTTCAGCAATTTAATATTGACAAAAAAATTACAATTATTTAAATGGCAACTTGAACGATCACTTGCATTTTTTCATGATAACAGTGAAAAGAACTTCAAATGTTTCATCATTTTTGATCATACAGATAAGAGTAATGCATCATTCGAAACTGTAAAACGTCTACTTTTATTTGTATGTACATGCAATATCAACAAAACATTGTGATTTTGTAAAATAAAGAAAACAGATAGGGTGTGCTTTCAGCAGTCAGTCTCCGCGAATGAACGAAATGAACGAAAACTGAATGACACACAGACATGAGAAATATACCTAAAGAAAGCTTGAAGTGTCTATTTTTAAATTAAGTAAGTCATGCCGAAAACAAATATTCTCTGATAAAATAATCCACCGCGACGTACAGTCTTTCCCGCCTGAGCTCATCTGTAATGTGGTCACACTCATGCGCATTGCGCTATATATGATAATCATCCACTTGAGACGCGCGAACATATAAACGAACACATCACCTCTGTAAACAAAGCGTTAAGATTAATCAAGTTCATCTAGGCTACTTGAGGAATGTAGCGTAATATATAGAGTAATGTTTTCCTCGCGCTGTGAGGAATAAGCCTTGTATTTACCTCAGAAGAAGAAGAATGCGATGTGACGCTCGGCTTAATCCAGTGGAGGATCTCATTCTGATGAGTCATTTATTTTTATTTAAGCTATTTATTAGTGTTATTGTGACAAACTTACACATTTACTAGTTGAACTTTTCCCAAACTATAATGCCAGACTAAAAGATGTGAAATCTAGTGCAACATTTTGAAATATGATAAGCAAACTTTTCATTACCATTTCATCTAAATGTTGTACAACTCGTCTGCATTTTAGCTCGCATTCTCCAGTGATTTATTAAAGGGCATACTGACGCGCAAACATGATTTTAAAATGCATTGTACTTCATATTTTTTCTTAACACTGCATTTGTAACTTAAGTGACATAATTTTAATGACATTAGTAGCTGTAAACGAATTACATACATTTAAAATCTAACGCCTTACATTACTGCGTTATCAGGAAAAGTAATTAGAATACAGTAACGCGTTCTTTTATTGTCAGACACGTAAGGGGAGAACCAGACCCGATACAAGCCTAAACATACTTGATTTCATTTAATTAGTTGAAAAGTGTAGTGTAGTAGTAATAGAATATGTTTGCGGTCGTAATGATGACAGGTGCGCACACAAAATAGTAGCTGTTCGCTTGGGCATTGTTCAAATCGCCCGAGTACACCCTTATTCCCTCATACACAGGAAAAAAAAAACATTTCAAGTTGTAAATAAAACAGATTATTCAAATACATTTTATGTTCTAAGAAAATACAATTTCTGGTTTTTACTTCAATATTTCAAGTTTAATTCAATGTGTTACTTGCCTTTTCTTTGTAATTGTTTGTGAAATGTACTAGCAATTCCTAAGTGAAAATTGTTTGTACACCAGTTATTTATTTGTTTGTTTGTTTTGCAGTGTATAAAAGACATTTAGCACACAGTACCTAGGTTTTGCATTTTTTTTAAAAACCAGCTTTTCCAAATCAAACATTGTAATGTTTTGACTGTTCTTGGATCTGGTTGGTTTGGTTACTTTATAATTTGTTCATATAGAATTGTTCAATTCCCTTTGAAGAACAAATAAAGTAAGTGAAGAAAAAATAAAGTATTCCCAAAACCAAGGCGGCTGAAAAAGTGGACGCACATGGTTGCTCTCAATTGATGCTCAATTAATTACTGGTGAAGTCTGAAGCTGACTAAGATGCTCTACTTTCAGAAATACCACCAGTTGAGGATCAAGATTCTGGGCGACTGCTATTACTGTATTTGTGGCCTTCCAGATTACCGTGATGACCATGCGGCTTGCTCCATCAGGATGGGTTTAGCCATGGTTGAGGCCATTTCGTGAGTGATGAATGCTGAACTGTTCAGGAGTGTTCATGGGAATTAGTGACTGCTTCATGACAATGACTTTTAAATAGCTCGAGTTGGGCATGCTTGAGTATGACGAGGTCTGACACATTCATCTGGATTTCAGATACGTTCGAGAGAAGACGCAGACGGACGTGGACATGCGTGTCGGGGTGCATTCTGGGACAGTTTTGGGAGGCGTGCTCGGACAGAAGCGCTGGCAGTATGACGTGTGGTCGACTGACGTGACGGTGGCTAACAAGATGGAGGCAGGAGGAATACCAGGGTAAAAACCTGCACATTCACCAGTGATAAAGGGTTTAGTTTGGTTCTGAATGCTAGGGGAAATTCACTAGACGTTCACTAGCTATCCATTTGAATGTGAATGCCTTCTGAGATGCAGTCAAGACAGACGAGTGACTCAGACGAGTGTAAATGTGTCTGGATGTTCAGGTCATATATAAACTTCACTCCTCCCTAAATGAACTACGCCTGAATACAGGAGCACTGCAGTCATGGATGAGACTCGTGGACGGAAACATGTGGATATATGTTTTGATTATTAGACTCTTATCTGTCATAATCATTAGTAAGACTCAATTAGAATGAGACCCACCCTTAATTGCTTAATTGTACTGAATATCCACTTGTAGTGAACTTAAGATCTTAAAAGTTTTTTTTTAACTGTACTTGTAGATAATATAATATTAATGAAATAAAAGGCCACTTAAGTGTACTTTTCATGACTAGAATTCTTAATACACTTAACCCTCATAATGCATTCAAAATTTGTATATTATTTTCACATTTTGGGTCATAATAGTTTTTCAACTAAAACCATTTTGTATGTGATCAACATCTTCTGATTAATGAGTGATTGTGAAACAAGATTTACTTTTTTAATTAAAGATGCCAGCATACATTTTTAATGAATTTGTAATTAAAGCATACCAGAAAATCTATTGATGCAACTATTAAAACCATATTGTATCTGATCAACATCTTCTAATTAATGAGTGATTGTGAAACATTTGCTTTTTTTAATTAAAGATACCAGAATACATTTTTAATGAGTTTTTTTTAATTAAAGCATACCAGAGAATCGATTGATGCAACTATTAAGAAAAAAATAAATAAAATAAAAAAATATAGATAGATAGATATAGATATATTTATAAACCAATCATTGTATGAAATTTATCAGAACATATAATCTGAGAATTACCAGTATTAACCCTTTTGGAATAAAAATTAAATTAAATTCCTTTGAATTTATAACTCACGATTGCTCAAAAACAGTCCAAATTTATGAAACCTACATACGAACCTACATACGTATTTCTAACAAAGCAACATCAAAACAACATAAATATTACTCTATAAAGTTTTCAAACAAAATAAATTTATTTTACTTACATAAACTTTCACTTTCAGATGAAAAAAGTGATACATTTTTCATGCTGCAGTGGTTCGTCAACAGCTATACAAATTCTTGTTTATAAAAAGATGCAACATTTTTAAAAATGATGCATCTTAAAAAATAATAGAAAAAAATGAAATAATAATAATAATAATAATACTAATAATGTTTATTTTCTGGGTCTTAGAGCATTGACTAAGTTTCATTCCCTTACTGAAAACTATTTTTTTCTTTTCTTTTTCTTTTTTTGTTTGTTTTTGACTAGCATACTAAAGCACATGCAAAGTACTTGATTATAATTAGTGTGTTATTTGATATTACGTTTAAGGTTAATATATTGTAGATGTACTAAATTACAACTTCTTTACAAATGTGCAATTGCAAACATTTAAATACATGACATATACGTTTCAATAGAAATGACATTAAAGTATATTTTCGTTTATCATAAATGCTTGTCAGTACATTCAGAAGTTCACTTTAACCATATTTCAGTAGACAATAGAAGTAATTATGAGATTACATATAAAGATGCACTTAAGTCCTACTTAAGTGAGTCAAAAAAAGTTCAGCTATGGATCCTAAAACCGGTTAATGAATTTGTCCTGTAGTCTTTAACAGTGAAACAGCAACATTGTCTGCAAGTATTGTGTAATTACACAATATTGTGTATTGTGTAAACCTTTGTCTGGTAGGCGAGTGCACATCTCCCAGAATACCCTGGAGTGTCTGCATGGAGAGTTTGATGTGGAGCCGGGGAACGGAGGAGACCGCTGCGAGTACCTGAAGGAAAGAGGCATTGAGACGTACTTGGTGGTGGTGCCCAAGGGACCCGTGGGTAAAAACGGCATCAACGGGGTAGTGAGTGTCATTTCTGTTACTGTCGTTTCGGTTTCTCTGTGTCTCTCTCATTCTCACACTCTCGCCGGTGGTTTCCTCCAGAAGCTTTCGGTGACGTCGTCTAATGGGAATTCTCCATTGCTGATCAACACTACGGAGTGCAATGGGAGCGTCCACACGGCCTGTACCACACCGGAGGAGCCGGAGGAGCTGGACACGCGGGTAATGACATGACGATCTCACACACTGACATGTGCAACTCTGCTAAAGCCAATGGAATCTGTTAACTTAAGAAGTTCTTTACTTAATTACGGATTAAAATGGCAAAGGTTTTCACTTCAGTCCATGAAAAAATGCATAAATGAACAAAAGTTCTGTTAGTAATAATAATGCTATGTGCAAATTGTATATGACACTTATATTTTACACTTAGACTTTACACTATTTATATACACTTTTTGTGTGTGTGTGTGTGTGTGTGTGTGTATGTACGTGTATATATATGCATATGCATATATACAGTCAATATATATATATATATATATATATATATAATGCTGGGCAACGATTAATTCGTGATTAATCGCATCCAAAATAAAAGTTTTTGTTTATATAATATATATATATGTGTGTATACTGTGTGTATTTATTATGTATATATAAATACACACACATGCATGAATATATTTAAGAAAAATATGTTATGTTTATATATTAAATAATATATTTATATAGAATATTATATTATATTATATAAATGTATACATGTAAATATTTTCAAAATATATACTTAATGTGTGTGTATTTATATATACATAATAAATAAACACAGTACACATATATTACGTAAACAATAACTTTTATTTTGGATGCGATTAATTGCGATTAATCGTTTAACAGCACTAATATTTACGTATATACACATATATAGTGCCCTCCACTAATATTGGCAGGCAACCTTGGTATGATCAAATATGAAATATGAGCAAAGGCAGCTGTGAAAATAGATCTGCATTGTTTATCCTTTTGATATTTAATTTAAAAACTTCACAAAATTCTAACCTATTATTGAAGTAAAACAATTGAAAGTGGGGGAAAATCTCATTGTGAAATAAATGCTTTCTCTAGTTCATGTTGGCCACAATTATTGCAACGTCCTTTTCCCAAGATAACAGCTCTGAGTTTTCTCCTATAATGCCTGATGAGTTTGGAGAACACCTGACAAGAGATCAGAGATCAGTTATAGCTATAATGAACAAGTTGAATTTTTCTTCTGAAATCTAGAGCATTTATTAGCGAATTTTATTTTATTTTATTCCTGTATTTCCTTATAATTAACTAGTTGCTGACTCGCCTGAACAAGGAGTTGACTTATTGGTCTTAAGGTATCAACATGGCCCTTCAAACAGTATATTTCAGTATGTTTACAGGTGCATCTCAATAAATTAGAATGTCGTGGAAAAGTTCATTTATTTCAGTAATTCAACTCAAATTGTGAAACTCGTGTATTAAATAAATTCAATGCAC